ATAATTTTCGATAATTTTAGATTTTTTACCAAAGAGTCGAGACTATTAAATAAGTAAAGTATTTTCCAAAAGCACAAAAATAATGAAGCTAAATCCAATAAAAGAAAGGGAAAAATGTTGAATTTTAAGAAATTCGGATTTTTGAATTTTTGATAATTTTCGATAATTTTAGATTTTTTACCAAAGAGTCGAGACTATTAAAGAAGTAAAGTATTTTCCAAAAGCACAAAAATAATGAAGCTAAATCCCATAAAAGAAAGGAAAAAATGTTGAATTTTAAGAAATTCGGATTTTTGAATTTTTGATAATTTTCGATAATTTTAGATTTTTTACCAAAGAGTCGAGACTATTAAATAAGTAAAGTATTTTCCAAGAGCACAAAAATAATGAAGCTAAATTTAATAAAAGAAAGGGAAAAATGTTGAATTTTAAGAAATTCGGATTTTTGAATTTTTGATAATTTTCGATAATTTTAGATTTTTTACCAAAGAGTCGAGACTATTAAATAAGTAAAGTATTTTCCAAAAGCACAAAAATAATGAAGCTGAATCCCATAAAAGAAATGAAAAAATGTTGAATTTTAAGAAATTCGGATTTTTGAATTTTTGATAATTTTCGATAATTTTAGATTTTTTACCAAAGATTCGAGACTATTAAATAAGTAAACTATTTTCCAAGAGCACAAAAATAATGAAGCTAAATCCCATAAAAGAAAGGGAAAAATGTTGAATTTTAAGAAATTCGGATTTTTGAATTTTTGATAATTTTCGATAATTTTAGATTTTTTACCAAAGAGTCGAGACTATTAAATAAGTAAAGTATTTTTTAAGAGCACAAAAATAATGAAGCTGAATCCCATGAAAGAAAGAAAAAAATGTTGAATTTTAAGAAATTCGGATTTTTGAATTTTTGATATTTTTCGATAATTTTATATTTTTTACCAATGAGTCGAGACTATTAAATAAGTAAAGTATTTTTTAAGAGCACAAAAATAATAAAGCTAAATCCCATAAAAGAGAGGAAAAAATGTTGAATTTTAAGAAATTCGAATGTTTGAATATTTGATAATTTTCGATAATTTTAGATTTTTTACCAAAGAGTCGAGACTATTAAATAAGTAAAGTATTTTCCAAGAGCACAAAAATAATGAAGCTAAATCCCATAAAAGAGAGGAAAAAATGTTGAATTTGAAGAAATTCGGATTTTTGAATTTTTGATAATTTTCGATAATTTTAGATTTTTTACCAAAGAGTCGAGACTATTAAATAAGTAAAGTATTTTCCAAAAGCACAAAAATAATGAAGCTAAATCCCATAAAAGAAAGGGAAAAATGTTGAATTTTAAGAAATTCGGATTTTTGAAATTTTGATAATTTTCGATAATTTTCTATTTGTTACCAAAGGGTGGAGACTATTAAATAAGTAAAGTATTTTTCAAGAACCCAAAAATATTGAAGCTAAATCCCATAAGAGAGGAGAAAAAATTTTAAATTTTAAGAAATTTGGATTTTTGAATTTTTGATACACGGTGCGCTAGAAGCAAAAATAGGTTTTATAAAAATGCGGACAAAAACGGTTTGTGTAGCATGTTTTGTAAGCATTTATAGGTTAAAAATCAGTTTGATTTAATATCCTACCTGTTCCTGTTTTCAAGAATTCCATATAAATCGGTTTTCATCTTTATCATACCAAATTCATTTAATCAATTATTAATGTTTTAAAAATTGTAATTGTTTCCTGTTAAAATTATTTTACAAATGTGAAGAAATTGCAACTACGGCCTTCTTCTTCTTCTTTTTTGAACGTTCAGAATTTTAGTAAATCTTATATAACAGTTACAAAATACAAGCAAGAAAATAAAGAGTAATGGGAGGGATAAAAAAATTAAAATTAAAGTAAGTAAGATCTGTATATTTAAGGAAAAAATTTTTAATTGTTGTAAAAAAGGAGCAAAAGTGTCAAATGAGAATTGACTGTACGTTAGAAATATTTGATAATAATTGCTTTAGAATCTTGCGATATTTATATTTTTATTCTTAAAAACTATTAGTATTCCTTTTAATTTTTTAGAATTACTACATTTTAATTAAGTAACTATTACAAAAATCCAAGAAGCAATAAATAAATTATCCGCGATATTTACCGCGCGATAATACACTCATCCACGATATTTGACACGCGAAAATACCCTCAAGCCATTACAAGTCCCGCGAGATTACAAGAATTTGAGTCTTCTATTTAATTATTTATTTAAATATTAAAACTATTTTCTACAACATTGACAATTTTTTTTAAAGATAAAAAAGTATAAATATTCATTTAAAATAAAAAACAAAACCATATATATTCATTTATTATTTTTAAACCACTTGGAAGTATGATCTATACAAAATTCCTCGATTATATACCCACATTTACCCTAATTACATACTTTTCAGTTTCATACCTTTGTTTTACATCTGCTAAAACTTGAAAACTTTATAATAGTAGACAATTTTTAACACAATTCAGTTTAAATGTAATTTGTATTCAACAAACACAACTAACAATAATATATTGTGCACCTAGGGAGGAAAATAGTGATTTTCCCGAGGGTGAAGTTTGTAGTTCGAGACGTAGCGAGCGTACGAGCCGAAGGCGAGTGCAGGGGAGTGCGAGCGAAGTCGAGAACTGCAAACACACGAGGCGAAAATCATTTTCCTTCCGTGGTGCACATACTATTTTTTCTAACACACGTAAACGAAAGTACAAATATGCAATTATTTAGCGGAATTTTTTGAAATAAATACTATTAATTTTATAATGTTAATTTATTATTAGATTATTAGAAACAAATATTCACAATACTTATTATATTGAGATAAAAATGTTTGACAATTAAAAATAATTAATAATAATATATACATTTAACCACAATTATAATAATTATTATTGTTGTAATATTTATTTAAAATCCATTATTAATTAAAAAAATAACAATATGATACATATTTAATCTTAAAAAATATATAGCTCTTTTTATATTTTGCATTTATTAAAAAAAATTACAAATTATTATAGCAGCAGGAAGAAAATATTACTTTCTCTCCCCGTGACATCACAGCGGGGAGGGAAAGTATTACATTCCATCCCCGTTAAGACGTCACGGGGAGGGAAAGTAACATTCTCTCCCTGCCTCCGGGAAAGACGTACTTTCCACCCTCTTTGTAGGTGAGAAATGATGTACTTTCGGTGCGTGTGTTAGAAAAAATATTTTCTGTCATTAAAATTACCATGGAAACTACTTATCACAAAAATTTATCCTGCGAGAAGTTGCTTCTTTATAAATTTAAAAAGATTTTATTGTTTATTAAATATAAAAAAGCTTTACTTGCATTTCTCGAAAACGGGAACAGGTAGGATTTTAATTCAAACGGATTTTTAACCTGTAAATACATACAAAACATGCTACACAAACCGTTTTTATCCGCATTTTTGTAAAACCTATTTTTGCTTCTAGCGCACCGTGTGTAATGGGAAAATTTTTTTAGAATATGTTTCTGAAAGGTTTTTTCGTCCTCTTTCCAATGGTGTATTTTATTTTTTAATATTTTAAAAATTTACCCTAATTTTTGATAATTTTTATTTAATTTTCAATTTCCCAAAAATCGGTCCGTTTTTTTAATAAATTATTGCAAACGAAAGCTGAGGTTTTTTCAGAAAAAATTCACAAAGTAGCCGATGTTGGCAAAATTGGTCAAATTGACCCCCCCTCTACCCCCTCCAATTTTTCGAAAAAATCAAAAATATTTTTTGGGTCACATTTCTACTTGATAGAACAACAAATTCCTTGAGTTTCAATTTTTTTCAAGAAGTTGAAATTTTAACTTAAGACATTTCACGTAAAATGCCTCATATGAGTCTTTAACTGTCACATTATTCACCTATTTTAATGAGTTCTTTAACTAATTTAATGAACTCCTTGCATACTTTAGGTGACATACGATAATTTTTCTGACGATTTGGAGCACTATCACCGGTGTTTATTACATGTTCTACTATCTTAGCTGGAGGTAGTTTATTGGGGACCAGAGAAATGATTCTTTTTAAAAGTGCTTCGAGATGCTTTCTCTCTTTGTTGGTTAACTTAACTAATCCTGCACACGAACTATCGCTATTCGTTTCGCCTTCACTAAAATCTACACTAACAACCGGCTTATCTGATGCCCACAATTTTTTATCATTTATATCAATTATTATTCCAAATGTTCTTAAGAAAACTATGCTTAATATATAATTATTTTCTGTTAATTTTGGAACTATTCGGACATTTATTTTATTGGTTATTCCCGCGAAAATTATTGACAATATACTTTCACCAATAATGGACTCAATAGCACCGTTTGCTAATAAAACGCTACTGTTTTTGTTATTATTTAATTTACTATGCTGTTCAGTATCAACCGATTTGTCAAATTAATATTCTATGTTTTTAAAATTTTTTTTTCAATATTAAATATTTTATTGAGTTGTTTTTAGTTTATGGTGTTAATTAATAAAGTTAAATTTTGCATATTATTTAATATTATTATTATTTTGAAAATTAATATTAAAACTTAATTATTTAATTGTCTTCTGCTAAAATGATAGAGGGTCACCTATATTTACGTAGGGTACGTGTAGAGCGATAAAAAAATAAAATAAAAAACAAGGTTGGTTATTATCAACCTTGACTTTCTGCCAAATTGTAATTCGGACAAATAAATATTCTATTGAATAAGAATTCATTTTGGTGTAAAATGCTAATATTTTTCATTATTTTTACTTTGAATTGTTTTTAAAAATTAAAGTTGAAAGTGAAAACACAAAGTTTTAAAATAGTAAAATTTTTCTCTTAATATTTCATGTTACAGTACTACATTATCTTCAATTTTTTATTTTGTTTTCTTAATATCTACATTTTATGTCATTGTATCTTAAACATAAATGACGATAGGTATTTCTTTTAAGACATATATTTTCATATATAGTGCTTACATTGCTTTTCTTTGTTCAAAACTGTGTATCAAAAAGTATATTTTAAACATATAATTTTGAGGAGAGAATTTATTTGTGATTCGTTTTGAAGATGGGTAAACGCAAATTTAATTTTTTGCTGCAGATACTGTAAGTTAATTTTTGCGTGCGTATTTCAATTTAATATAAAACTGTGAATGATAAAATCATATGTCTCTAGATCTACATTTATGTTAGTAGTTAATTGTCAGGAAAAAAGTTTTCAAGAGCTGAGTAAGTATATAGTTTTTCAAATCTTATAAATTTTTAAAGTAGTTTACAATTAATGTTATCATTAAAGTTAATATTTTCTAAATTTTAATAATCGCTTGATGACTCCAGTAGTAGTTTTCTGGGTTCCTTCATCTCGAGTAACACGAACAATTCCAAATCAAAGTATGAATAAATTTCATTTTATCGTAATAAAATATTTTCCTATGTAGTCAGATATTTGGATAGTGGAATCGACGATACTGTGAACCCTTGTGATAATTTTTACGATTACGCTTGTGGTAATTGGGCTCGAAATAATCCAAAACCAGATGGATTTAATATTTGGAACCTAAATCAAATTGCAAAGAATAACATTATTTCAAAGATGAGAAGTAATAAAAATTCCATTCTAAATTACTATAGAAAATTAATTTTATCATTTTTCGAGCGTTTAATTTTCATTTCCAGATATTTTAGAAAGTGATATTTTTGAAGAAAATGTGCAACTTGCTATGGAGAGAAAATATTACCGAGCCTGTTTGAACGCAGGTAAATTTTTGAAGAACGTACATAAATAAATTGTTGCTATTATAATTTATTTATTACAGAAGCCACACTATCTACAGCAAGAAAATTCAGTAGAGACATGATAATCGAAAGTACAGAATTAATGACAAATTGGCAAGGTGTAGCTGAATATTATGCTAGTAAATTTGGTTCTAATTTTCTTTTTCATATTGCACTCAAATCCAGTACATTACAGGTAAAATGTTCTAAATTAGAATAATAACAAACTTTTTATATAAAAAAACATTTCTCTTACATTTCTTTATATTAATCAAGCTTTCATTTTACATTATAAATTTTCATAGATTCTAAGACCACGTGAAGCAAGATCAAACAAAATGAAAAATGGAAAATTATTCGAGAATCATATAAATAATTATTTGAAAACTATTACTCACACCAGATTGTTAGAGTATTCAAGACAATCAATTAATTTTTTTAATAAGGAATTTAAAAAATTTGTAGTATCTGTAAGACAGGTAAAAAAACTGTTAATGATCAGTATATTTATTAATTTTTATATTTTTGATTCAATTGAATTAAAGATTTACATTAAAAATTTTACAGCTTGTGTTTTCTCCAAAATCTGAATTGAAGAACATTACTATTTCAGAATTGCAAGAAATTTATAATCGTTATTGCCCTCCAGAAAATTATCATACACATGTAAATAATTATATTTTTTTATGAAAATAAATGTTGAAATGCGAATATTAATTTATAAATGCCTTATTTTGAATTTCAGGTAAATTGGTATAATTTTCTTCAGAAACATGCTGAGGGTAGTGAAGTAGTATTTGAAAATTCAAGTCACATGAATATTGATATTGATTATTTAGTTAATTTATGTGAAATCATAAGTCAAACATCAAGTATTGTAATCGGTAATTACGTAAACAGATTATTAAAAAAAATAGTACAATATTTATAAAATTATTTTATTAATTTTGTAAAAACAATAATTTTGTAGTAAGTTACATGCAGTACAATTTTCTCTATGATGTGCAAGTAGCTTTTTATCTTAGCACTAATAAAAATCATCTGGATTATAATAAAACGTATGTTTTTGGTTTCCTTTAATTACATTTACAAGTTCAACAAGAAATTTCAAATATGAATTCTTTTAATTATTATTAAATTAAATAATAATTAGAATAAAATTAATAGATCCTATTCATGCATCGACGGATTGCCGCTAAAAGAAAAGATTTATGAGTTATTAGCGGATTCTGATGAATTTTACGAAAAAGAGGAAACGGTAAGCTATCCAGGTTTAGAGATAAACTAGTAAAATTATTCGTTTTTGATAATTATTTATAATATAAATATAGATTATACTGCTATTTATTCAGTAAATGTTTATTTTAATAATATAGTATTACATTTTTAAATATTTCCTTTATAAATAATTTTTTATATTCATCAGGGCAATATAGTATTTGAAGGTCTAAAAAGTGTATTAAAAAGTGAAATTAAAAATAGCTGGTTCGATAATGCTACAAAAAACAAAGCATTAAAAGTGGTGAGAAAAATGAAGTATTGTTTAAGTAGAACTGATTTTCCCTTAATTAAAAGAGAGTTGGAAAGAATTTCGTACAAGGTAATGTTTCTTACTTACATTTAAAATGAGAAAGTAATTATTACTATAAATTTTAATACAAAAATTTTAATCATTACAAATTACTCCATTGGATAATAGCCTTTGATTGTTATAATAAAGTTGACAGAAATTGATAAAATCTTAATCATTCTTTTTACACTCTTTCAGTTTAATATTGGATCCCTAGCTCTAGAGAATTTAATAAATTTCAGAAAAGCTCAAACTTTATATAAAATTCAATTATCTCAACAATCTGTGGACGTTAGAAGGTAGATAAATAACACCTTATAAAAATACTGAATAAGAAACGTTAATAAAAATAAAAATAATTGTTTTGAGACGAAAAATTATAATTTTATAATATTGATCTATTTTTATTTTGTAGAAGAAAGAAAAGAAATATACACATTAATGCTGCTTACGATAGTGTATCGAATTTTTTATGTGAGTAAAATTAAGAAAAATATTGGTTAAAGGGAGTTCACCTTAACTATATCATCATAAAAGAAATAAGAAAATAAGAAATATTCACAAAAACTAAAAATAAAACATATTTTTACAAAATTTTAATAATATTTTAGGTGTAACGACAGGATTTTTTTTCGCACCACTTTTTGAACCAAAGGCACATTTAATGTTAGTCATTTTGTTATTTTAAAAATAGAATATAAAAGTTGACTAGAGAATTATACAATTCACTTATAATATATTACTTTAATAGATCATATTTATATGGAATTATGGGACATAAGATCGGTCACGAACTTTCTCACGCTTTTGATTTTTCCCGTATTATACAATATATGGGGGGTGAGTATTTATAATAATTATTTAAGGTGTATAATAATAATTAACCTAATGGAACCTGTAAAAATAGTCATTGCTTTATGTAATTACTTTTAAATATAATTGCAGATTATATTTCTAATAATGAACTGATGAATTCAACATTTCTTAAAAAGAAAGATTGCATGGTCCGGCATTTTAACAATCTCAGGGTATTTATTTATTAAAGAAATTTTTCATTTTTTACATAATTACCTAGATCAGTGGTAATAGAAAATATTTTTACACATTCGTTGGCAAAATGATTTTGTATTTACATATTTATATATGTATGTAGATTGACGGACATACAACTTTAAATGAGAATGTTGCTGATACACAAGGATTAAAATTGGCATTTAAATTGCTTAGAAGATTAATTGTTGATGACGTGGTACAAAAAAAAGAAATTGAACGTTATTTCTTTTTGTCTTTTGCAAATGTAAGTACTAAAATATATACTACATGTATAATAATCCTTTTATTATAAATAAAAATGTTAATTTTTAAAACAAAATATTTCTCCCTAGGGTTATTGTGAGAGTCGTGACACTCCATTTACTGATACAATTCATTCACCACCTATGTTACGTGTCATTGGAACATTAATGAATATGCCTGAATTCGCAGAATTATATCATTGCGAAGAAGGACGAACTATGAATCCAAGGGAAAAATGTGACTTGTGGTCTGTACCAAGTGAACCCATGGAAATGTAAAATGAAATTTTTTCTTCCATGTAAACGAAAAAAAGAAATTTACATAAATGTATGACATAATTGAAAAAATAAACATATTTTTTTAACTCATACGTTTATAACAATAAAAAGAAAATAAAATAGTAAAATTTAATGTGAATTTTAATAGTGTCTCTTCCAATGTCTAACGATGTAAAAGTTTAATAAAAATTTCGTATTTTTAAAACATGTCCTTCACATTCGACTTGCATAATAAAAGTAACAACACAAACATATTTTTTGTTTAAATTAAAAATATTTTTTATTATAAGAATACAAAAAATTAATATTACTCTTTTAAATGATTTGTACAAGATCAAAAGTAAAATATTTTTTATTTTTCTGTTCATAAGCAGAAACGAATTCTTCATGTCTCCATTTCCTCTGTAGTATTTTTCGGTAAAAATACTGTCAGTACCGCACACACTAAAAGAATGCAGTTTTTCATTATTTATTTACGATAAATAATTATGTTAATAATAATAATTACCTAGACATGTAGCTCCGATCATAGTAAACGGACCAAAGCACCCAAAGGCGAATAAAACCGGAAATAACAAATTTCCCACAACTGCCCCTAAGCGTCCAAATACCATTGTTACGCTAACTGCCATTGTTCTATAAAAACTCACAGTGATATTTAAAAAATCGTGGTATCAAAAAATTTCCAATATAATAAAAAAATTAATTTATTGTTCATAGAAAACATAAATATTACCTCAGATAAGTAGGAAAATTATCGACAATAATAAGCGTAAGAACAGCAGCTCCAATATTTGATAAAGCCACAAACACTGAGAATAAAGCTAAAATAACATTCGATTTTTCCGCCCAAAATAAAATACAACAGCAAACTCCACTGGTTACGAAACAGAAAACTAAAAGTACGAAAACTTTATGCTAACAATAATGTAATAATAATTTTTTATAGTATTTCTTTTATTTTTCCAGTAGCTTTTCCAATTCCAGGAGTTAATGAACACAAGAGAATAGTAAAATAGTTATTTTTCATACCCATTAATTTCAGTTTTCCAACAATTGGAACAAGACTACTTGCTAACGAACACCCGATAAATCCAGTGAGAGAAATTACAATAGAGTTAATGTAGACCGTAGCATTTACAATACTCTACAATCATGACACGTAAAGTTAATATTTACGAGAGTTATTATAATTAGTTTGAAAATTGAAACAAAAAAAAAACTAATTTTAAAAAATTCTATTTATTTTCAAATTTATATAATATAAAGAAGGTAAATTTAAAAGAAAAAACGTGCAGTAAAATACCTCCTGGCAAACTGGTACAGACGATGAATTATTCCCATTGAAATAAGAATGACTATTTATGCCATTCAACATTTTACAAACTGTTACTGATTCACTGTTTGGATGTATAACAGTGTATGTTTCAATCATAGAAAATAGTTCCGGTATCCATAGTTTCATTGAATTTGATCTGAAATTGTTAAGAGGACATGAGAGCTGTTTCAACCCTATTAGTTTTTTCAAAAAATATTTCTTTCCGAATGCCTTATTTTCATACTGTCAGGATCGTCTAAACCCTTAAATAAATTCTACTCACCCCACAGTGCTGGCGAATTGAATAGAAGCAAGTAGCGAAAGTTTATAAATATTCGGCAACTGAAATAAAGACTTTATTTGCTGGCAATTGTGAAAAATATTCTTCATAATTCCTCTTTTCTCGAATTCAGCAAAAAAATTCTCCTCCACTAAACATTTGACCTGTGTTTAAAAACCAAAAACATTATTCCCTAATTTACAATTTCTCGAGCAACTTTTTAATTATTAAAATTATTTTTTAGAAAAATATTCTCACCGGATAAGTATCTGGATGTTTACCCGTATTCATAGAATAAATAATATTCCTGAAAACCAAAAGGGCCTCATCTAATTTTTTTCTCGACAAAAAAAATCGTGGACTCTCAGGAAAAAATGACATGGCAATAAATGCAAGAAATTCCGGTATTGTACATACAGCCAAAAATATTCTCCACGAATTTAATTCCAATTGGTATTTGAAAATATTCCATCGCCAGGTTTGTGGAATTATTAACCAAGCAAGACCTGAAATTCCATTTTCTTGCAATTATTATTATATAATAATAATTGCAAAAAAAAATAATTTTATTTTTAGAATATTTACACGGTAATATAATATTTCCAAGAGAGAATGCAACGCCCAACCACAAATAAACTCTAGATCGAAAAATTTCGCTATGAATTTCAGCGAGGTATGACATGAGTGCTGCATGTGGACCACAAATTCTGTCAAGTAGCAAAAACAGGTTAATAATAATTGTTTCAGTCGGGAAATTTCGATGCGAGGTTATTTTTCAATAGAGTTAAAAATCTTGTCATATGATAAAAAATACTTACACAACTCCGCTTAGAAATTTGAATACTATTAAGAGCCAAGAAACTTGGGAGAAGCAACTGGCAAAGCTAAATATTGAGGAACACAAGTAGCCATAAAGCATAATTTTCTTTCGGCCAACGGTATCCGCTAAATAACCCCAGACGAACACCATTAAGATTGTCCCTAAAAATTAATTTCTTAAGTATGGCTTCTTTTCTAATATTAGTTGCAGAAAAAAATTATCTTTTATGTATATTAAATTATTATGTTATAATATTATTATATATATTATTAAAACTTTAGATGCAGTGACAATTAACCAACCTGCAAATGGCATAGAATTTAGCAAACCCTTATCGAACAGTGAGAGTCGAAGATCACATTCTGCAGAAGCTAGCACGTAGGATATGGATGTTGATGAAAAAATACTGGCCCACGCCGCTGGCAAGGACGCGAGAATCAACAGAAAGTTGAATTTTCCATAACCTAAGGTACGAAAATTATTTATATTAATTAATATTATCATTTAAATTATTTATTTTAATTCTATTAATTCTATAAAGAGAATTAGATTTTTTTTTTTTTTTTTAATTTCGCGCCACTTGTTCGTAGAAATGCGAGTGAGTGTGGCGACCGCAAAGCACGCGCCGCTCCTGAACTTCCCACCGGTCGCCGGAGTAGGAAGTTCCCCCACTCTCGCCCGAGTCGACGAGTATATAAGCATAGCGCGTAACGAGGAGAAGTCACTTTCCAATCGATATCAGTGCAAAGCGGATCTAATTTAAAACATGGAATCACCTACTGTTAATAAATATAATAATAAAATAATTACCAGTTTCTAAAATGGCACGCTCGAAATTTGCTGGTTCTTGAGATAATTCTACTTGTTTTTTACTTTCTGCAAAATAAAATTAAGTTTCGAATGATAGTCATCTTGATATTTTAAACAATTAATTAGAAACAGTAAACAAATTGCTTGTAATTCCAAAAAAATCCATACTTAATAAACTATTTGCTTGAATATCGACGTTGCAAACATGAGGTTCACTTTAAAAAAATTTATTTAAGAAAATTAAAATTTTAAAAACATACCCCGTTTCATTTTTGAAAATTGCAAATAATCGTATTTTCATTCTTCAAATTTCTAAAAATTTCTTTAAAAATAAATTCAACATGTTAATAGATATTAATTAACTAGACAAAGAACGATACTCCAAGCAAATTGAATTTTTCTCTGCTTAGTCGAGCGTTTTTTTATTATTAGTTTAAGAAAACTGTTATCAATGAAACTTGTTAACAATTTCATTTCAGTTGTTTAAGATAATTGTTCTATTAACATGAAGAACGACAAAGTAGTTAAAAATTACAATTAGAAATAATTACCTGATAGTAAATGAAGATAACAATTCTGTGCATTCTTTTCGCTATAAGTTATAGTATATGGTTGACGTCAACGGACTAACAGTCACTTTATAAAGACTTTAGAAACACTACTTTTTTCAGTAGTAAATTTTATTCATTTAATTTTGACAAAAGTTTTACAATTTTTACAATAATTTTTTAATATATAATTTAACATCATAATCTTTTGTAAATTGTTGAAAGTTACTAATTGTACAAGTGAAAACAAAATTTCGGATGTACATTCTTTTAATTCTTAAGAAATGGTAAGAAAAATATGATCCAAGGCATTAATTGTGAGAAATTTTATTAAAACATGTGACAATTACAAATGCTTTTGGTCATGCCGAAAATTTACAAATTAAATGATATTTTAGAGAAGGCATATATTAAAAGAAATTGCAAAGTTAAATTAAATAAAAAGAAAACAAAGAAGAATTAAAATTTACAAATGAAAAATAATAAAAACTGCGGTTTTAAAATAAAAATTATAAATCCCGGACTTTATTATGAAAATAAATCGTTAATTTATCAAAAAGTATTTCTGCAATACATACAATAATTCCAAATCCAAGACCAATTCCAAGATACAAAAACGGTGAAATAGTAAAAGATTTTTTATATTTCGGTATTTTAGGTGCATTCTTCATTTGCAGTTTGCTATGACGTAGAAAATTATCACTCTGCCACTTTTGTTCAAGACCTGATTGAAAAAATCTTTTCATATGGCGCTCCAATTCAAAAACAAATGGAGAATTATTCTCAAGATAAAGATATTGAATTAAATCTGACGCGTCAGTTATATTCGAAAAAGTTGATACACCATTCTCCTTGATATCCTCCGATAGCAAGCGTTGACCGTCGAAATAATCCACAATGCAGGCTACTGCTTTATTATCAAAAAAATCAGTTAGGCAATCATCAACCGTTGTATGATTACGTGTTCTTTCTTCGAATGGCAAATTCGTTCCAATAATGTCCAGTGTAAATGATCCTTCAACAGGTTTAATAATTATTTCCGTGTCTAAATCATCGTCCTTTATTTCTTTATATTCAGTGATTAATTGAATCGATGTCAGTAAAGAGTGCACATCTGATGACAATAGTAAAAATCCAAAGCAAACTGACATCAGGGCCACTCTATCAGAAAGTGTTTTCACATCTTCTAAAACTGACATTCCAATCATCAATTTCCAGAAATTGAGAAATTTCCAAAAATGTTTGTCATGCATTAAAAATCTCAGAATTAGCCAACAGACGATCAAGAGAACACTACACAAAGTTATTGTATTTAGAGAAATGTCAAGAGAGTATTTTTTCAATTTTTTCTTCGGTACAAGAATCATGTACAAATCTTCTTTCTTTAAAAGGGCAGCATAATTTATTTGTGAATCAATAATGCTAAGTGCGAATACACTAATGTTACACACACGATTTTGAAAGTAATGCTTAACTCTCGGAGAACACACCTCTTTTTCCGACTATTTTTCAAAGCTCAACCAATTTTAAACTGCTCATCTAATCAAGCTAAAGAATTTTTTTAATTATAGTTTAAACTCTGTAGAATAAGTCTGTATACTTGAAAGTCCTTATTAAAAATATTAAAAAAAGATAAAAAGCTTTTCGTAAAAAAGCGTGGGGTCAAAAAGACCCCACGTGTTCTCCGGAGGTTAAAAATCGGTTCACAGTAAGAAATTGGAATATTATTTTCCAACAAATTGCATTCTGGAGGAATAATTACTAAGGGTTTAAAGTTCATAGTTGTTGAAATAGTTTTGAATCTCGCAAAATCTGGGATGTCGTCTAATTTTAATTCTATATTAAAACAACTATTTAATTCGATGTCATTCAAATTATTTAGTTTGATTGGAAAAACAATATCACCTTTGACATAATTCACTTTTGTGTAATTTCCCATAAAATGACTATAATAATGAATGATGATGTTCCTTTCAGTTGGGAGACCATAACACACGTGCCGCTACTGAGTATCTTACCGGCGGTCGGAGTAGGGAGTACCCCCACTCTGGTCCTAGTCGACGAGTATATAAGTAAAGGGCACGGCGAAGAGTATGGCCACTCTCTCTGTGGTATCAGCGTAGAGCGGATCTATTTCGACAGCTCCTTAGTACATTGTAGCACTCACTCAAAAGATGCTTCTTGGTGACAGAGCAGCGTTTTAAATTTCTCTCCCTACTGTGAAATATTAATTCCCCAATAAATACGATAATTCCAAATCCAAGACCAATTGCAAGATATACAAAAGGCGAAATGGTGAATATATTTTCTTGTTTAGGGAGTTTAAAAATGTGTCTCGTATACTTCATTTTATCAAATATATAATTATCTCTTCTCCACTTGTTTTCCAATCCATACTGATGAAATTTTTCAATATAACGCTCAAATTCAAAAACATATGGAGAATTATCCTCAAATGAAAGGAACAAAACCAATTCAACCAACTCTTCTACCATAATATCAAATGTTAAAATTCCATTTTTCTTGACATCTTGAGACGATAATTCTTCTGCATATTGAGCATAGACATAGCAAATAACTGCTTTATTCTCAAAAAGATCTGTTAAACAATCTTCTATTGTCGTATGATTACGTGTTCTTTTTTCAAACGGAAAAATTGTTTCCTTTCCAACGACATCTAAGGTCCAGGAGTCTTCCACGAAATAACGAAGAGAATTATTAAAGTTAATAATACTTTTATAATCAGTGGCAAATCCAATAGATGACAGAAATGATACCAATATTGACGATAGTAGTAAAGCACCAAAACAAATTGATGTCAAGGCAATTTTGTCAGATAATTTTTTTAATTCTAACGTAATAGACATTGCCATAAATAATTGCCAGAAGTTTATGATATTCCAAAGACGTTCTTCAAACATGAAAACACGAAGTCCAAGCCATATGAGAATAATACAAATGCTGCATAAAATTACAACATTTATTGAAAATATAAACTCGTATTTCTTACTTTGTTGTTTAGGTGCCAAATATTTGTAGTTATCAGGTTCATATAATAGAGCAACGTAATTTGATGTGAGGTTTATTGGTCTATTATGTGGATATATTGCTAGATTATAAACATTTTTGTTAAGATCTTTAAGCAAAATGTCTTTGCATTTACGATAAGTTTCAAGGCTGGTTAAATTACATTTTGATGGAAAAAATAATACAGATTTGAAATTCATTATTTTTGAAATAGTTTTAAATCTTGAAAGTTCGACTAAACTTCTATCGTCCGTAGTCATTTCATAAAAACCTTTCATTTCGTAACCATTTAGATCTTTTAGTTTCATTGGAAAAATTACATCACCTTGAATGTAATTACTTCTTGTATAGTTATTGGTGAAATTATTAAAATAGTGGATGATGATGTTCTTTTGACTTGGTCCTGACAATTTATGATTTTCATTTAGAGAATATTCAACATCGAGAATTGTGAGATGAACAAAATTTTTTGACCACGCCAAACGAAGTATATTTTCACGACTGCTACTCTTCTCGTTTAGGGGAATTATCATCAAACATCTTGGAAAAGCATTAATTGTTGAGACGATTTTCATAAAATTGAAGGATTCCTCTATAACTTTTGTATCATCCTCGAGAATAATTATAAACAATGTTGTTTCGTACATACTTCTTGAACTCAGTGAATTTTTATGCTCCTCCGGATCCTCCTGAAGAAAATTTATAACTCGACTTGGATTACTTTTGAAGACATTTTGAAAAATTTCATTTTGTACATCCAAACTGTTAGTCTTCCCATCGTGCATTATTATCGTTCGATATGGCTCAAATTCATTTTCTCTAATTTGTTGAAAAATTTCTTTAAAAGACACTGAATCGACAGTAGAGAATATTTGTGATAGTCCAAAAATGATAAGGACACATTTTTCAATTTTTGAACTATATTTAATCATTTTTGGAAACTAACATTCTTTTACGAAACGGACAGCAGAAAGTTTAGTGAAACACTGACTTTGTATTTCCTTTTTGAAAAAATTGTTTTCATCGTTTTAGTAGTAAATTAATTTTGTTAATGTATTCTTTCGTTTTACTTTTTTTAAGTGAAAATTGAATTGTGGATTAAATTGTTTCTCATAATATACTGTTTCTAAAATATTCACAACAACATGAAAGCAATTGGGCATTTTTATTTCGTTTGTTATTAAAGTTAGATTAAGTGAATCAATTTCATTACATAACACTAGTAGTACAAAAAAGTTTCTCATTATTAAATTTGAGAAATAAAGTAAATATAAATTTAGAATATTACTTTCACATTAAGGAGGGATCCTACTTTGGATGGCCTAAAATTTTTTTTTTTTTTTTGAGACAGAAAAATTTGTTAATTTAAATATTGAGATAAAATTATTCGAAAAAATTCCATTACATTGAAGATGACTTTCTGGTAAAGAATTTTTAAAATATTGATTTTCTTTTTTTTATTTATATACAAAATTTAATAGTAATATCGTCAATTAAAAAAATTTTATTACAAGAATAGAAAAAAACATTTAATAGTTTGTACAAAAATGTAGACACTCTTAATTATTACAATTTTTTTTTTTATAAGTATTTACTAATTTTTTTTCTATCTATTCACATTTACACATATTCACACTTGTAAAAAATAGTTTTAAATCTCTTAGGAAATACTATTTACAATTCACTGTTATATGATCGAGTCACAAGAAAAGAATCTAGTGGCAAAAAAGTTTTAAACTTTATTAATATTTTTTGCAGGATAAAAATGATTGAAAACTGCATTTTGAACAATGAAAGTTAGTTTTAATAAAACAAAAATGTTTTTCTTACGGAATTAATAAATAATTTTTTCAATTTTAAATCTAATAAACATATTTTTTTGGCTTCTAGTTCTTTTCTGGTTTTAATAAGAAATAAATGCTTATTTATAAAATCACGATAATTTAAATACAAAAAATTTTATGTAAGATAAATTTTTTTTTAAATTTAATTACTTAATGTCTTTCAAAAAAAAGAAAAATACTTTTTCTTCTCTATATCAGTCTCATTGAAATTTGATCACTTGATTCTCATGGTCCAATTTGTTCCTTTCTTTTTCTCGGTAAAAATAATGTGAGAACTGCACAAACTGAAAAAAGAGGTTATTTTTTTAATTCCTCAACTTTTTCACTTATTCTTTTAAATTATAAAGTATTTTATAAAATTCTTCTCAGAAATTACAATGATAATAAAGTTAAAAATAATAGTAATGATGATGACAAAAATAATAATAATCATAATAATAATAATGATAAAAATAATAAATAATGGTACGAATAATAATAATAGAAAATAAATTACCCAGACATGCGGCTCCAATCATAATAAAAGGACCAAGGCACCCTAAAGCGAATAAAACGGGAAATAATAAATTACCCACAACAGCCCCAAGGCGTCCAAATACCATCGTTACACTAACTGCCATTGTTCTGTCAAAAAAAAAAATTTTTTATTTTTTAACAAAATTAAAAACGAGATTATTTAAATTAATTAATTTTATTAATTTAACTATCTAAATATTATTTAAAAAAAATTTTATATAATAATTATTTTCTATCGTATTTTGAATTAAAAAAATTAGTATCTTATTACCTAAGATATGTGGGGAAATTTTCGACAATAATAACCATAACGACTGCGCCTCCAATACTGGAAAGAGCAACAAATACTGAAGATATACCTAAAATTCCACTGGAATTTTCAGCCCAAAATAAAATTCCACAACAAGTCCCACCAGCCATGAAACAAAAAGCTGAAATGCAATTGAGAAAATAAAAAACATTAAAAGTAGAGTTTCAATAGTTGCAGTGGCTCAGTGCGTTAAGTGCACTATTTTTTCTGTAAAAGCGCATATTGCGTTCGTATCCTGATAGATCAAATTTTTTTTTTTCGTGGTATAAAATTTTTAATTACGAATAATAAATTTTACAAAAAATATTTCTATTTGAAAAAGAAAATTCTTTTGCGGCAAAAAATTTTTTTTGTTATAAAAAAAAAGTCACCTACCCATTAATTTTCGTTTTCCAATTATTGGCACTAGGCTACTGGCTAAGGAATACCCGACGACTCCCGTGAGAGCAATTACAATCGAGTTAATGTAAACTGTCGCATTTACAACATTCTGCAAAATAAATATTTAAGAAAAAAAATTTATTATTAATACAAAAGATTTATTAATTGAGAAAAAATATTAATTAAAAATATTGTTAATTTTAATGAATTATTAACAGTAATTTGCTAATTTGAATTAATTATTAATAGTAATTTGTTAATTAATTATTAATTAATTAATTATTAATAGAAAGTTATTAATTTAAATTAATTATTAATAAGAAAGAAGAAAGAAATTATTATTTTAAATTAATTATTAATAGAAAATTATTTAAAAACTTTAAATTTATGAATTTAAGACAATTATTAATACAAAATTGCTGAAAAAAATTATTTATATCAAAGTATTTTAAAATTAGAAAAAAAAATTGAATAAAATACCTCAGTGCAAATTGTCTGAGTCGAATTATTTGAACTAGAGAAAGAATTATTTTTCGAGCCACTCAGCATTTCACAAACTGTCACTGCTTTACTGTTCGGATGCATCGCTGTATAGGTTTCAATCATCGAAAATAATTGCGGCATCCAAAGTCTCAATGAATTTGAACTGAAAATTATTTAAAAACAAAAAAAGAAAATTATTCCCCTCTACAATTTTTCCCAAAAAAAACAATTTTTAAACGAATAAAATAAATTTTTTTTCAATTTTCGCCATATTAGATCCGCTATTTTGCATTTTGAAAATTTCGGCTAATTTTCAAAAGGATTAATTAAATTTACAATAAAATATTATTTTCAATTAAAAACAAATTATTTTTTGTAAAAATTGAAATAAATAATAATAATAATAATAAAATATAAAAAATGAACTCACCCAACAGTACAACCAAATTGAATGGAGGCAATAAGAAATAGTTTATAAACATTTGGCGATTGAAATAGTGGTTTAATTTGCTGCCAACTGTGAAGAATATTCTGTACAATTCCACTTTCTTCGGATTCCTTAAAGCACTGCTCCTCCGCTAGGCACTTGATCTAAATATTTTGATTCAAAAAAATATTATTTTTTATTCAATTCTTATTTTAAAATTTTTATTTTCTCGGTTCATTATTTTCTTTTGCAAATTTTTTTTTGTTTCTAAATAGAAAAAGAGTAAAAAAAAATATTTTCTTAAAAAACACTCTCACCGGATAAGTATCTGGGTGTTTACCCGTGTTAATAGAATAAATATTCTTGAAAACAATGAGTGCCTCGTCCGTTCGTTTTTTTGCCAGGAGAAAACGTGGACTCTCGGGAAAAAATGACATTGCAAAGCAGGCCATAAATTCTGGTATTGAACAGACAGCCAAAAATATTCTCCACGAATTTATTTCCAGCCAACCATTAAAAAGATTCCAACTCCACGATTGTGGAATTATTAACCAAGCGAGACCTGAAAAGAAAAATATATTTTGTGGGGTGAAAAAAATTCTAGAGCCGCTCCTGAATTTCTAGGAAGCGTCCCCCCACTCTACAATTTTCTAACATGTGGGGAGTCCTGAAAAGAAAAATATATTTTGTGGGGTGAAAACAATTCTAGAGCCGCTCCTGAATTTCTAAAAAAATTGTAGAGTGGGGGGACGCTTTCTAGAAATTCAGGAGCGGCTCTAGAATTTTCGACCGTTTTTTTATATTTACATTAATCCAACAGAAAAAAAATTTTATTTTTTTAAAAACTAAAATGAAATTGAAATGAATAAGAAAATATCGATACAAAAATATTTACATGGCAATGTAATATTTCCAAGGGAAAATGCGACGCCCAACCACATATAAACTCTGGAACGAAAATTATCGCTGTGAATTTCGGCCAAATATGACATGAGTGCTGCATATGGACCCGAGATTCTGTTAAATAACAAAAGAATAATAATTATCAAAATATTCGGCAAAAAATTTTTTTTTTTTCTAAATTTTCAGATATAAATAAAAATTATTTTCAAAATCATTAGTTTAGTATAGTGAAAAATAAATGTTAACAATTTCGCAAAAAAGTAATTTGTTTTTTATTTTGCGAAAATTTATTTTTGCTCCTAATTTTTTTCTATACCACTTACATAACACCGCTTAGAAATTTAAATACTATTAAAAGCCAAGAAACTTGTGAGAAACAACTGGCAAAGCTGAATATTGAGGTACACAAGTAGCCATAAAACATAATTTTCTTACGGCCGACAGTGTCAGCTAAGAAACCCCAAACGAACGCCGTGGCTATCATTCCTGAAAACATAAATTTTTCTCCAATTAATAAATTAAAATTTAATTCTTGCTTTGAAAATACTGGTAATAAATCAAAAATTTTAATTCATTTACCTGCAAATGACATAGAATTTAGTAAACCCTTATCGAACATTGTAAGTTGAAGATCGCATTCCGCTGAAGGAAGCACGTATGATATGGAAGTCGATGAGAAAACACTGGCCCACGCTGCTGGCAAACACGCCAAAAGCAATAGAAAATTGAATTTTCCATAACCTGTAATTCGGGAATTATTTATATTAATAAATATTTCATTTAATCAATAAATAGAATTTAATTAATAAATATTACAATTATTTCATTATTTATTTTTAAAAAATAAATAGAATAATGTGGAAATTAATTTTGAATTTCGCGCCACTAATTCGCAGAAATGCGCGTTAGTGGGGCGATCGTAGAGCACGCGCCGCACCTGAACTTCAGGAGTTCCCCCACTCTCGCCCGAGTCGACGAGTATATAAGCAGAGCGCATAACGAGGAGCAGTCACTTTCCAACCGAAACCAGTCAACAGCGAAATCTAATTTGAAAAGTGGAATCTACTACTCTAGTAAAATGAAAATTTTTAATCTACAAAAAAAAAAGATACTAAAATCATTCGATTTAAAAATGAAATATTTACCGGTTTCTAAAATGGCTCGTTCAAAATTTGCAGGACCTTCGGGACATTCGCCTTGATTTTCACTTTCTGCAACAACAAAAATTATCGAATTTTGTAGTAATAGTGGATAATAATTATACTAACGATAAATTGTTGAATTATTATTTTGTAAAAAATTTGTTTCTGAAACACAAAATTTAGTTTTGTGAAAATTTTTTAGTTGTAACATTTTTCCTAGATGTTAATAAATATTTGATTAACATTTTTATATTAACAAATGGCGTAAATTATTTATTTTATAATTAATATTATTCACACATTTATTTTTAATAATTAAATTAATAATCTTATGGAATTAATAGGTATTATTTATTTATTTTAATATTATTACTACTAGTAATAGTTCTTTAAATAAAGATAAATTATTATTTCCTCATTATATTGTCTATTAATTTCTTTATTTGTTTAAAAAATTAACAATTAATATCTTTATTTTATTTTTTACTCTCACAATGAATGAAATATTAAACAAAATGATTTATCTAATTAAACGTACTTAAAAATTTACTACAAGTAATTATTTAAAATAATTAATTATTTTAATTTATTTAAAGTAGTTTCTTTTATTTGAATTATTAAATAGAATTTTTTTTCTTCGCGATTATGAAATAATTTATTTGTGGTAATTAACAAAATAATTTATTATTTTTATTTATTATTAAATGAAACGTATTTAAATATTTTGTGCAAATAATTATTTTAGTTAATTATTTATTTTAAATTATTTTTTTTTTTAATTTTTAAAAGTAAAATTCTTTTTTCAACGTTTGGAAACAAAATTTTGTATCAATAAACAAAATAATTCGTCCAAGAAAACGTAAATAAAAATCTCGCTCCAATGAATTATTTTAATTAATTATTACTTATCTTGATTTCTTTAAATAGATTTGTTTTGTTAATTAAATAAATAAATTATTAAAAAATAAAATTCTTCACGTTGAAAGGAGAAAGTATTTTTTTCAGTAAAGTTTTGCTGGGAATGTTGTAAAAAATAATTACTTGTATTAAGAAAATTTTTTTTTTGACTTTTCTTTATAGTTAAAATTAACCTAATGAGTCGTTTAAATTCACTTCTGTCACTGATGATAGCATAATGAAAAATAACAAACTTACTACTTTCGCGTCGTAAACGATGTAACCAATGACTTACAGTCAACAGTGGTTTTATAAAACTCTTCCAACCCCCTTGCATATTTAATTTTCTCAAGAATTCTCCAATCTCATGACCTTAAAATTACTTTTTTTTCAGAAAAACTTTTTCTTTTCCTTCACTTAATCTATATTTTATTTTTTTCTCACTTAACACTTTTTTATTTTCCACTTTTTATATTCCGAAAAAATTCACAATTTTTTTTCAAAATTTCAATTTTTGACTATTTATATTAATCAACTCAAAGAATTATATAAAATAATAAATTATTAATAAATAAAAAAAATGTTAATGAAAATTTTTTGTTCCTCAATAAGAAAAATATTAGACAACTTTAAAATGACTCAAGTTTAGTTAAATAATTTATTGACTTTTGTTGTTATTCTATTAATTATATTATTATATTAATTTTTTTAATAACAAATTTACACTTTCAAAAACTTGAAAACAATAATATTTTAAAATACTTGAGAAATAACATTTAACAGATAGTTAACAAATTGCAATAATTATTAACAATTAAAATTAATTATTTTCAAACAATTTTCAGTAAATAACAATAATTATTAACAAGTGATAATAAATAACAATTATTTTCCAACAATTTTCAGTAAATAACAATAATTATTAACAATTAGTAATAAATGACAATTATTATTAACAATTTCTAGTAAAAAAAAACAACGATTATTAATAATTATTTATTATAAATGATTATCAACAATTACTTACAATAATTACCAACAATTACAACGATTAGCGAATAATTATAACAATCACTATTGTTAATTATTTGATTTCTCAATTATCTAAAGAACATTATTTTATAAATATAGTAATAAAAAGTTACTGAAAAAAAATTATCAATAAAAAATATATTAAAAAATTATTTTAAAAAATTATTTATAAAAATTATTTTAAGAAATTAATAAAAATTATTTTAAAAACTTATTGATAGAAATAATTATAAAAAAACTATTAAAAAACATTATTAATGAAAATTATTAATTTTTTTAATTTAAAAAAAAGTTTAAATAATTATTTTTTCCAGAAAGAAAATTAAAATTTCTAATTGTTTATAGGTGAAATACTTTTTTTTTCTCTCTCTCCTAAACGCACAGAAAATAACGTGTTTAAAATGCAAGTAGCGTCAATTAAAGAAAATGTTCACCACTTTAATAGACGAGGTGAGTTACTCAATTAGAGAAAAATCGCCGTTACAACGGTATATTTATTAGAGGGGCGTGACAACATATATATCTATAAAATCAAGGTTTAATTTTTTTTCAATTTTTTTTTGTTTGCAATTTTTTTTTTCTTTACAGAACTTGAGAACTTTAAACCAATTGGAGAAGGCATAAAGTGTGTAATACACAGATGGAAAATTTACGAACAATTACAAAAGCGTCAAAGATATCTTTCAGAAACGATAGAAGGGAGAATTTTGTTATACAACACGATAATATTCCCATCACTGTGTAAATTTTCTTTCTCTCGTATTTTTTTTTTAATATAAATCTCTCTACAACTTTTCAAGTATATTTTCCGATGACACTTGAGAAATGAGATAATCGGCCATTGACTATCGACAGGTATTATTCCAATCTTGTGGGAACCAATGAGTCTTCCCATTAAAACAAATATTAGCGAATTCTTAAACTTTTTTTTTCATTTTAATTTTGCTTCTGCTAAATTTTTTTTTATTTCCGAACATATTTGTGAAAATTAAAAAAATGATATTTTTCTTATGAATTTAGACCTAAATTTGAGGGTGGTAGAGAATTTGACCTAAATTTAGGTCCGAATTCTTTTCTAAGAATTATGAATTAAATTATTATTATTTATTTATTATTTTCTTAATTAGGCTCTTAATTATGAATTAAGACCTAAATTTTAAAGTGACAGACAATTTTTCCTAAATTTAGGTCCTTTTTGACCTAATTTTCATGTTTGTTTAATTTTTACCTATTTTTTAAAGATGTGTTTTCCCATTGAAAATTTTCCTAGCATATTTGACCTAAACTGATGTAACTTTTCCCTTTTAACAGTGAATTTTGACTACATTTTACTATTGACCTGCAAATTTAGACCTATTTTTTAAATTTGAGTATTTTTTTAACCTACATTCTTTTTCTAATCTTGACCTAAAATCTTTTCTTTTCCCGTATTTACTAAAACCTCGTCATATTCTTGACCTGCGAAATTTGACCTAAATTCATACTTTATGTTCTTTTCGTAACCGTGAATTTTGACCTATTTTTTAAGGCTACGTTATTTAAGATTATTGACCTGTAAATTTTGACCATTTTTCTGTTTCTCTATTCACTAAACCTACACTTTACTTTTGACCTATGAAATCTGACCTAAATACAAATTTGACCTATTGTTAGAAATTATATTTGACCTGTAAGCTTTACTTTATTTTTTAAGGCATTTTTCTTTAACCTAAATTTTTTATCTAAGCTTGACCTACAATCTATAGTTATTCTTATTTCTTGACCTGTTTTTCTGCTTTTTTAACTTCTAAACATATGTTATTATTTTAACTTTTGAAATTAAACCTAAATATAAGATTTTGTTCTTATATAACATTCAATTTTGACAAATTCTTCGAAGCTGCAATTTCTTCTTGACCTGCAAATTTTGACCTATTATTTAAAGCTGCGATATTCTCTTAACCTTTATTTTTTCTCTCAACTTAACCTAAAATCTAAGGTTATATTTGTTTCATAACCTGCTCTTCTTTTCGTCTATTGTCTAAACAAACGTTATATTTTTGACCTACGAAATTTGACCTAAACTAGAAATTTCTACCTATTTTTATTCTTTAGACATTGATTTTGACCTAAAATCTAAGTTTATTTTCGCTTCATGACCTGTTCTTCAGGTCAAAAAAGCACTTTAAACCTATATTTTATTTTTGACCTACGAATCTTGACTTGAAATCCACTAATATTTTACCTGTAAAATTTGACCTAAAATTTTAGGTCATCTTCATTTCTTTACCTGTTTTTCTGTTCATTTATTTATTTAACCGACGGAAATCTATATTTAACCTAAAATTTAAGTTAATGTTCGTTTTTTGACCTTCTGTTATACTTTCTGTTTTCAATTTCTTCCTTTCTGTTATTCTGTTACTTTATATTTGACCTGTGAAACTTGACCTAATGTTATGTTCGTTTCTTGACCTAATATTGTTATTCGATTTTTAAGCTTTTATTTTTGACCTACGAAACTTGACCTAAACTTTAAGATTATCTTGAATTTCTGACCGATGAATGTCTGTCTGACCCATGTGTGAGACTAGCGTCATTTAAAAAGCGTATAATATTATTTTTTTTTCTTTTTTGGTAAATAACGATTTTTTTAATAGGAAAAAAATTTATAATTTATTCTAATGATAATATAATATGTTATTTGATAATAATAGAAATCTGATAATGATTGATAGTAATTGTCAACATATAAACACAGTTATCTTGAATTAATCATATAAAATTTAGTGCAATAAAAAAAATTGAATGAAAAAGAAAAATTTCTATTGTTATGATTGTTGACGATAAGAGATTGATGATAATGATTTGTTTTTCGCAATATTATAAAAGCCTTTACCACGAATCTCATTTTATTCTCCATCAGTGTTCTAGTAATAAATAAACTTTTTATAAATAATATACAGAAAATCTTCTTCTTTTTGTTAATATTGTAAAGTTTTATTCTATTAACATTCAGTATTTATTTAAATTATTCGAATTGTTTACTATTATTTATTTTTATTATTATTAATGTTGCTATTATTTATAACAAAAAACTTTATAATAAAATTTTTTATTGTAATGTCTCATTCTTTTAATTCAATCATGAATGTAACAATTATGGTTTGGAAAAATTATTTATTAATTAGTTTTTAAGTAGGTAAAAATGTTTGAATTAAAAAAAGGAAATTTCATCTCTTTCACATACTTGAGCAATGACCTTATATGATTTGATGATTGATCATGGAAATGTTCTAGTTTTGTCGAGGTTTAAGAGACCTGATTGATATAACTAGCAAACAAGAGAAATTAATCAGAAAAATGAAAAACAGTAATTTCTTTCTTATTTTAGTATTAAATTCTTTATTTCGATAATTATCTAATATCTTCACTGGTTATTTAAAATTATAGAAAATTTTTAAAACAAATTTTACTAATTATCACATTAGTTTTATCACAAAAATTATTATTAAATTAATTATCAAAAATTACAATCACTAGTTATTGACTATTATTTATTGATTATCAATGATCAATTATCAATTATCAATTATTGATTATCAATTATCAATTATCAATTATCAATTATCAATTATCAATTATCAATTATCAAATATCAATTGACAGTTATAATAATATGATTTAGTATTAAGTTATTACTGATTATTGATTATCAAAATATCAATTTGTGTAAATCGATGTTTAATGATTGATTATGGATTATCAATTATCAATTATCAGTTCTCAGTTATTATAATATGAAGTAGTGTTAATCAATTATTGATTATCAATTATCATAATATGAATTTGTGTTAATCGAATTTTGATTATCGATTATTGATTATCAATTATCAATTATCAGTTATCAGTTATTATAATATCAATTATTGTTAAACAATTATTGATTATTGATTATTAATTATTATAATATGAATTTGTGTTAATCGAATTTTGATTATCAATTATCAATTATCAATTATCAATTATCAATTATCAATTATCAATTATCAATTATCAATTATCAATTATCAATTATCAATTATCAATTAAGAATTATCAATTGTCAGTTATTATACTATGAATTAGTGTTAAGCTATTATTGATTATCGATTATCAATTATCATAATATCAATTTGTGATAATCGAATTTTGATTATTGATTATTGATTATCAATTATCAATTATCAATTATCAATTATCAATTATCAATTATCAATTATCAATTATCAATTATCAATTAAAAATTATCAAATATCAATTGACAGTTATAATAATATGATTTAGTGTTAAGTTATTACTGATTATTGATTATCAAAATATCAATTTGTGTAAATCGATGTTTAATGATTGATTATGGATTATCAATTATCAATTATCAGTTCTCAGTTATTATAATATGAAGTAGTGTTAATCAATTATTGATTATCAATTATCATAATATGAATTTGTGTTAATCGAATTTTGATTATCGATTATTGATTATCAATTATCAATTATCAGTTATCAGTTATTATAATATCAATTAGTGTTAATCAATTACTGATTATTAATTATTATAATATGAATTGGTGTTAATCGAATTTTGATTATCGATTATTGATTATCAATTATCAATTATCAATTATCAATTATCAATTATCAATTATCAATTATCAATTATCAATTATCAATTATCAATTATCAATTGTCAGTTAAAATAATATGAATTAGTTTTAATCTATTTTAGATTATCGATTATCAATTATCATAATATCAATTTGTGATAATCGTTTTGTGATTATTGATTATTGTTTCTCAATTATCAATTATCAATTATCAATCATTGGTAATTGACTATTCTTTTTTTTTAATAATTATTTATTGATCACTGTCTGTTAATTATAAGTTTATCAAATTTCTATAATTAAATTTTCTTCAGTTTAAAATTACAGCAAACAAAATTCTTATAATTATTAAGAATTCTCTTTTACATTCATAATATTATTCTTCATTGATTAATAATTTATTGGAGCAATTTATCATTTATTTATAGTAAGTATAAATATTTTTTTTTCTTTAATTTTCTCAATGTAAACAATGTATAGAGAAAATATATGCAAAATTCTATCAAGGAAAAGTATAAAAAATTAAACATAAAAAAATCATCTTTATCATTCTACTTACCTCGAGAAGTTAACTAAGAAAAATTATAATATTTACCCATTGTTTCCTTTTTTGACACAATCTCAAGTTTTTTTTACACTTTCAAAAAAAAAAAAAAAAGTAAAAAGAAAAGTAAAACTATTATAAATGAAACATAATTTTTCAGAAAAACTCATATATTTTCACTCAAAAATAAGAAGAAAGCGGAAGAAATAGCAAAGTGTAAAAATAGGAGATATTTAATAGGAAATATTCACATTAATCTGCGAATAAATATCTATTATTATTAAGTGAAATGATAGTAATATTAAATTTAAACAAGCGAGCACTGAATGTATTATTGTCTTTATAAATTGTTCACTTTGCATTATAAATGATTCATTTCATTTGCTCTCTTATGAAATTAGAAATATACACAAATATAAATCAATGTGTGTATGAATGTATATATAGAAAAGCGATTCATTGCAAAGATAATGAAAAACAGAATCTTGCAGTTGGTGTTAATGAAAAAGTGAATTGATAATTCGTATAAATTATAAAACAACTGCATTGTCTTCGCTTTCATTGCATACTAAATTCAATTTCTTCGCATTAAACAAATTTTCAATTAAAAAAAACATATTTTATTTACTTTTACTGTTACTTCGATTCTATTATTAATTAAATTAGAATATATTATTTATTATTAATAAACATTCAATTAAAA